ACATTCGCTGAGGTCGACCCCTTCCAACTCTCCCATCCACACTCATCTTGTATACTTGTTTCATCTATCTTTTGTCACCTGCGCGCGATTTGTGACGCGACCAGCACTAAACACTGCACAATGAGATTGCTGACTGACTGGCTCACTCAACTCCGGCATGAATCGTGCGCGCCAACCCCGCGCTGTGTCTCCCGTCGTCCGAGCGACTGACACCCCCCACTTCTTCTAACACCACTTCTTCAAAATAAACTCGCCCAGGCCCAAAACTGACTTCTGTGCATGGGCCACGAAGTTTCAATTGTTATTATTTTTTTTACTTTCTTCAACCACTTAAAAATATTTAAAAAATCTTAATTTGTTAACTGTACGAAACCAGGCAGCAAGACAGATTTGGCTCATAGACCGCAGTTTGCCGTTTTCTGCCCTAAATCATCCTCTGGTTTTACTTTTCTTCTGAGTCCTGGCTTCAGCTCTCTGCCCAGCACTGGAGGAGAGGCCTTGGCCCCCATCCTAGCACATGACGCCTCTGGGAAGAAAGGCAGCATAATCCAATGGAAAGAGCAGGGACTCAGAGCCAGATAGACCTGGGTTCAAATACAGTTCTTAATCCATTCATTTGCTGATGGGCACTTAGGCTGTTTCCAAATTTTAGCTATGGTAAATTGTGCTGCTATGAACATAGGGGTGCATATATTCTTTCTGATTGGTGTTTCTGGTTTCTTGGGATATATTCCTAGAAGTGGAATTACTGGGTCAAATGGGAATTCCATTTTTAATTTTTTGAAGGAACTCCATACTGTTTCCCACAGTGGCTTCACCAGTCTGCATTCCCACCAACAGTGCATGGGGGTTCCTTTTCCTCCACATCCTCTCCAGCACTTCTCATTGTTGATTTGTTGATGATAGCCAGTCTGACTGGTGTGAAATGGTACCTCATTGTTGTTTTGATTTGCATCTCTCGGATGATTAGTGACTTTGAGCATGTTTTCATATGTCTCTTGGCCTTCTGTATGTCCACTTTCGAAAAGTATCTATTTAGGTCCTTTGCCCCCCTTTTGATTGGATTATTTATCTTCCTTTTGTTAAGTTGTATGAGTTCCCCATACATTACAGAGATTAAACCCTTACCAGATATGACATTGGCAAATATGTTCTCCCATGCAGTAGGCTCTCTTGTTGTTTTGTTGATGATTTCTTTTGCAGTGCAGAAGCTTATTTTGATGTAGTTCCATTTGGTTTTTTTCTCCTTAGTTTCCATTGTTCTAGGAGATGTATCAGTAAAGATATTGCTATGACATATGTCTGTTATTTTGCTGCCTATGAATTCTTCTAAGATTTTTATTGTTTCCTATCTTACGTTTAAGTCTTTTAACCATTTTGAGTTTATTTTTGTGTATGCTATAAGTTGGTGATCTAGTTGCATTTTTTGCATGTATCTGTCCAGTTTTCCCAGCACCATTTATTGAAGAGACTATCTTGACTCCATTGTATGCTTTTGCCTCCTTTGTCAAATATTAGTTGAGCATTATGGCTTGGGGCGATTTCTGGGTTCTCTGTTTTGTTCCATTGGTCTATATGTCTGTTCTTGTGGCAGTACCAGGCAGTTTGGAAAGAACAGTGGCTTTGTAATATAGCTTGATATAGTAAACATTTCTTTATAATTGAAAGTAAGAACCTAGCACCCTTTGGCTAAGTAATTTGTGCCTCTCTCTCTGCTATTCCTTCTCAGGTACCATATTGTTCCCTGTAAGTCCTGCAGTAGCATGGTCTGAGTCCTGTAGTCTCATGCCCACACCCTTTCTTCCCAGGGTGAGAGGAGAAGCAGGGAACCATCTCTGGTGAGCTGGAACCGGCATGGGGGGTTCTCCTCATGTGAGGATTTCAAAGCTCTAGGAGGATGATGCCAGCAGGTGCGGGGGTCTGCCGAGCCCATCACCTTCTCTCTCAGACCTGCTCTCCCTTTTATTCTGTGAATAGATCCCTGCCCTCCAGCCTTCTGGACTCCAGACCTCAGGGTCACCTTTACTTCTCTCTGCCCCTGTCTGTCCTTTGCCAAGTCTTTCCACGTGTACTTCCCAACATGGTTCACATCAGCTCCCTTTACAGTTCCACTGCCCAAGTCTCAGCCACAGCCTCCTCACTGGTCCTCTTGCCCTAGACCAGTGATGGTGAACCTTTTGAGTGCGGCGTGTCAGCATTTTGAAAAACCCTAACTTAACTCTGGTGCCATGTCACATATAGATAGAAATTTTTTGATATTTGCAACCATAGTAAAACAAAGATTATATTTTTGATATTTATTTTATATATTTAAATGCCATTTAACAAAGAAAAATCAACCAAAAAAATGAGTTCGCGTGTCAATAGGTTCGCCATCACTGCCCTAGACTCACCTCTAACTGGTCTCTGCCCACATTGTACTCCCCAAAGCAAGCTCTGCTGTTGCCAGTTCCCTACTCAAAACCATCACTGGCTTCCTATGGTCTCTAGAATAAAGGCTAACCTTCCATAGACGGCAGGAAATGTCCTCCACCTCATGGCCCCAAAGCACACTGTAGCCTTATCTCCTGCTGGTGGTTCCCTTCCCCACTCCTATATTCCAACTGAATGGAGCAGCCCATTCCCCCCCCCCCCTCCCCCGCCCCAGCCTTGCTCTACACCAGCGGTTCTCAACCTGTGGGTCGTGACCCCTTTGGGGGGTCGAACGACCCTTTCACAGGGGTCGCCTAAGACCATCAGAAAACACATATATAATTACATATTGTTTTTGTGATTAATCACTATGCTTTAATTATGTTCCATTTGTAACAATGAAAATACATCCTGCATATCAGATATTTACATTACGATTCATAACAGTAGCAAAATTACACCTATAAAGTAGCAACGAAAATAATTTTATGGTTGGGGGTCACCACAACATGAGGAACTGTATTAAAGGGTCGCGGCATTAGGAAGGTTGAGAACTACTGCTCTACACCTTTGCTAATCTGTTTTAGCTCAGTTTCTCTGAATTCAGGACCTGAATTTAGGAACACAGTCCAATGAGCAGGGGTGAGGGAAAGGGCAGTGGAACAGGGAAGAAGGGAGACAAAATACCAAGATGCCCTATCCACTTGGCCCCTGCTCTGGCTGACTGGTGGCTCGATCCTGTGGGACCTCTGAGAAGCCTTATGAAGTGTCTGAAAACTGTCTATCTCAGGAAAGAAACGGGAAGCGTCTGTTCATCAGCTCCCATCCCCACGGTTTATGAGTTGCTCTATAGGGTGGCTGACTCTCCCAGTCCATTGTTGCTGCTGTGTGAGAGCTGAGCTGCTCCCAGAAGCATCCCCGGGGCAGAGAGCAAATGGCACATGGCAGGACACCGCCTGGTTGCTCCTGGGAAAGTGGCCTATGCACAGTGGCTGGAGTAGGAAGGGGGCAGAGAGGACTTGAGGTGGGACACAAAAGGTACCCCACCGTGGCTTCCAGAACACATGTTTCTTCCCTTTAGCTCTTCCAGACGCAGGTTTCCCTCCTTCCCAGGGACAGAGGAGTCTGGGGGAGAGACAGCCCTGGGCTCTCATTGGGTGAGCCCCACTCATACTTCCAGAGCCTGAGCTCTCCCTTTCTTGGTAAAAAGAGTTTTTTCAGGTGAGACTCAATGAGACGTGGCCTCTCTGCTTGGGATGCATCATCCTACGGGCCTCATAGAGAGCCCCAAAATGCTGATTTGTGGGCTCCTTGTTCTCTCTTGACTTAATGCTCATTCTCCTTCCAATGCTCAGATATCATATCTCCTCTTCCTTCTGTCCCTGCTTCGTCATCTGTCTACCCCAGCCTGGGTCCCTGTTTATCCCCCAGTTCTGATATATTCCAGTCCCTGCATAGCTTCCTCTGTAGTGGAGTGTGCATGTGTGTGCACACCTGCATGCGAATTTTATTTCTACCCGGCCCCTCCTTCTCCCTCCTGTGTCCTCCAAATACTGTTACAGTTAAGCCCCCCTTGTACTGGGGAAATGGAACCAACTGTGGTCGAGGGTAGTCTAGGGTACGGGGCAAGTTTATATTAGTAGCTGGAGCAACGGGGCAAAATTGATTAATAATACCTTGGTGACGGGGCAGTATTGATTAATGTAGCCCTGGTAACTTTGTGTCTGTATCCCAGGTAACTTTGTGTGTGTTTAGCCAACCGTTTTGTAGTTTCTGTGTATAACAGGTTCAACGCTGTCATAGGAGAGAACGCCTACGGCAGTCACTGGCCAGTTTCAATAAACACTCGCTTGCTGCTTAAGACCTAATTGGAGTCGTGGTCTTACTCTCCCGAATGTTGGTCCACAACAATACCTCCCCTGTGAAAGGCATTTCCCTGGCAGCAGCGTACCACCTGGGAAAACAGAGGGCTCCCTGCAATGCAAGTTAAATCCAGTGAGAAACACACATCCCCAAGAATGTCTACGGTGAAAAGGACCAATGGTGCCAATTGTTGAGACTGTGGAGCATCTGGAACTCTCATACTTTGCTGGTGTGGTATAAGCGGGCACAATCAGTTTGATTTCAGAGAGGAAGGAAGAGGGAGAGAAAGATGGAAACATCAATGGTAAGAGAGAATCATTGCGCGGCTGCCTCCTGCACGCGCCATACTAGGGATCGAGTCCGCAACCGAGCATGTGCCCTTGGCCAGAATCGAACCTGAGACCCTTCAATCCGCAGGCTGACACTCTATCCACTGAGCCAAACAGGCTAGGGCTAAAGATAATTTTAAAGTGGAAACATTAAAGAAGATACAGAAAGCAATGTTATCTCAACTTCTTTTATCTGATGAAAGCAGGACCTTCCAAAAATGCAGCTGCCATTATTCCCCTTCAGAGGGATTTTCTAGCCAATCCACCTCTCATGGAGACAGACAGCCCACAGAACCTCCCAAACTTCCCCATGAAAGTTTCAGAGCCCCTTCCCACTCCCATCCCCTTATTGAATTTGGCAAATACACCTTTATTTAGTGAGTTACTCACTACTGAGCAACTTCCTGGTGTACATGTAAATAAACTGTCTTTGTTCCTGTTAATCTGTTCTCAGTTGCTTTGCAGGTCTCCAACCACTGGACCTAATTTTTTTTCTTTTTTTAAATAGTATTTGTCCCTATATAATTCACTTCTTTATTGTGTTTATTATTTGCCATTTCCTCACTAGGAAGTTAGTTCCACGTGGCAGGGATTTGTCTTACTAAGGCGATATATTCCAAGTGCCTAGAACAGTGTCTGGCATACAGTAGGTGCTCCAAATGTTTGTTAAGTTAATGAAATAGCCTCCTATGTTGATTCTGGGAGAGAGCAGAGTTTGGCTGAAATGGGGGTCCAGGTACTGTCTGATTATTATGGCCCTGAAGCTAACAGTCATGTGGCCAGGCTTGGAAATTCCCCCAGAAACAGAGGAAGATGGACTAGACAAATTCAGCAAACCCAGGGAAGCATTCAGCCAGCTTCCCTTCTGGAGGACTCCTCACCTCCTTATCTGCCATGGCTGACCTGGGCTGCGGGTCATTTATATATTGAAAAAAAAAAAAAAAGAATTGGAGAGTAGGGATGTGTGGTGGTGGTGAAAGCGCACCTGGAATTCCTCTGTAGATTAAGCCACTGGCTGCTGGAATGAGGAAGTCCCTTTCCTGGCTGGGGTGGGACAGAGGCAGCCCAGCAGGGAAGGGAGGTGGCAGAAAGGAGTTGCATTCTTGATGGATTTCTCCTGTCTTCGCTAGGAGGAAGCCTCACCCTACATCACACACTATTGGACAGGGTCCAGCAGAATTCAGTCACTGCTGTGGCCCTGGGCCCCTTCTCCTCACCTGAAACCCCTGAAGGGCAATCCACCCTCCCATTTCATAAGGCCAAGCACTGGGGTTGAATGGGAGGGCTCAGCCTGTCAGGAGTAGTCTATAGATTAATGGTGTAGTTGGACCTGGAGTCTGAGATCCTTGACCCCAAGTGCTGGGTTGTACCCCAGATGGAGCCCCTCAGCTTATTCTCATACAGTATCCCTTCACCACATGCCCTGGACGACTCTTTTCTCCAGCAGAGCCCTTTATCCAGGGCAGGGTTAGGTACTGGAAGACAGTCACAGACCCAGTGCACAACCTCAGACTGCATGGCCAAGAAGATTGCGGAGCTCTTGTTGACCAAAGCCCAGAGAAGACAAATGACTTGTCCAAGATCACATGGCTGCTGGGCCACTATTAAGAAAGAAGCAGAAAATAGAACCCAGCCTTTAGATCCCACTTTAAAGTTCCTTCTAGTCCTGAGAGCTTGTGATTTCTTGATGCTGATGCAGCCTCTTTCCTCCTTTCTACAGCTGCTTTCATCATAAAACTCTTGTCCTGAAATTCCCAAGGTACCTTGTTCGACCAGCTCATTGGCCCCATGTGGGGTTAGGGTTCTTCTCCAGGCACTTGGGTATATGCCCAGCAGCTTCATTCCCTTCTTTGTGGCCAAATCCCCTAAGTTTCCCTAAGTCATCACCCTCACACTTCCCTCCTCACAGACCCTGTGACTGCGACTAGCACACGTACACTTTCCCTTCTCCCAGCTAGTGCCTTCTCCACCCTGAACCTCCAGGCTGGCAGCAGGGCATGGGCCTGGCTCTGGCTGGGATGCGGAGTCACAGGATGTGACAGTGGAATGTTAGAATCAGAGTCCTGCCTGCCCCACACTGGAGAGCTGTCTCCTGCAGACCTCAGGGCTGTCCCTTCTCTCTACTGCTTGAGGGTCAGGGCAGACATCAGGGCTCTCGCTCATTTATTGAGCACCCGAGAGACTTGATTTTGGTGAGCACCAAGTGTGTGGCAGCAGGCACTGTGCAAGAGTTTACTCTCTTATGTAATTCTCACAAAACAGTCCAGCGAGGTAGCAATATGCCCATTTAATAGCCAGAAAGTTGAGGTTCAGAAAGTTTCTCTAATTTACCCTAGATTACTAGTTTACTAATGAAGTCTAGGATTAGGAATGAGATCCAAGTCTGTCTGAGTAAAAACCCAAGCCCAAGGCATAAGGAGGTGGGGAGGGGTGAAGGGCAGGAGACAGGGAAAGGTGTGTGAAGCACCATCTTCCATGACCTCCTGGGCTGCAGGACCCAAGGGTCAGTATCACTGTGAAAATGATTCCATGTTTTCAAATGAAACTGCAGAGAGGAGAGGTCACTGGGCAAGGGGACAGGCGGGTTATCTTGCTGCCAGTGCTCAGTCTGTGCATGGGTGATCAGCTGGCCTCAGTCTGGAAACTACCAGGTCACACCTAGGCAGGTGGCCGGCCCCTCCTCTCTGGGTAGAGGAAGCAGGAACGGGTGGCTGTGAGAGGCAGTGGGAAGATCTGCTGAGCAGCAGTGGCCGGAGTCCCAGCTAGGATGGGCTCTCTCTGGGCCCTGGCTCTGCCCCTTTTCTTCTGCTGCTGGGAGGCTGGGGCCCCTGGGAGCTCTGCAGGTAAGAGGGCAGGAGGGTCCTGTGGGCTTCTCTCCTGGCAGGGCTCTGGGTAGGTGTTTCTGCCCCGGCAGAGGGTGAGGGTAGCGCTCTTGGGCTAATTAAAATTAGCCATAAAGCTAAATGTGAGGTATTACTTGTGTTATAGAAAGACTTGTCCACCCAGTGCTAGCCGAGCCGAATACTAGAATTTCAGTGCAGAAGGATTTTATTGATGAATGGTGCCATCCAGGGGACCTGGAAGCTATGCTCAAAGTCCAAACTCCCTGTCAAGTAGGTTACAGAATATAGGGGGCAAAATCTCAAGACACGGTGGGTTAGGGGGTTCAGGTCATGCTGTGAGCTGATTGGTCAGTGGTGAGGGTAATAAATTATTTCTTCAAGTCTTGAGGACAGCTCTGAAGTCTGTTCTGGTGTCCCTCTGTCTGTTCTCAAGGGAAAATAGCCAGGAGGTAGTTCCTTCTTAGGGCTCAGGAACAGAAACATAACTTAGATCAAGATGTTATCTGTAGCCTGCCAGAGGTCGGGCCTTGTAATCATTAGTCAGGTCCAGGCAACTGGCTTCTGCTGCCTGGGGGTTGCTGCTTGTGGAGAAAGGCTAGGTCTTTGGGGTGTAGATATATTGTGAGAGATATGATTTCTAGAGCTAGGATTTAAAACTGAATTTAATCAAAGTCGTAAGGACCCTGGGTTTCACTATCATTGATAAAGAGTATGCAGATGGCAGTGTGTCCCCTTAAGCATGTATGACACTGCGGTGCATACAAATGAGCGATATCATTTGAGGTTCCCAGGAGTTTTTCTTTCTGCTTGTGGGAGCGTGAGCAAGTGGGGTGCAGGGAGGTGCAGGCTGGTGATAAATATGACTAAAGCCAAAGAATGTGGCTTGACGAGATTCTAACTCCTCCAAGTTTATCCTTAAGAAAACACAGTTTTTGTGTGAAACATCTGGCTGTCACAGACTGTTTGGGGAGGGTGGATTCTGAGAGAGACAGGACTTTTATGAAAGAAGAGAACTAACATTGATCTGTATTAGGAACTGTGCCAAGCTGGTCA